TCGTTTTAGTTGGCAAATGATATACTGAAAAGATTGTGGGTTGATCAAATGTTTTGGCAGTATTAAAAAGTGTTGTTGTCATTTAGAACAGTCAGCATAGATCATTACACTTAAAAACGTGCAAAGATTTTGTATATTGACCAAATAACTTTAAATTTAAAAAGAAAAAGAAAAATTTTTTTTTATTAGATTTTTTCTTAATTTTTTGTTTATAGTAAAAAAAAAGTGTAGGTTTTTTCGCCTGGATGTGATTTGCTCCTACCGTCGTATATTTTTTCGTATCGATGTTACTTCAATTTTTTATTCACTTAAACTATTGATATTTTTGCTATTTAGTTGGTCATTATTTCCACTGCCCTTATACTGTGAACGAACCTATTATCTGAAATTCCAATTTACTGTTCAAACGACTATAACAGAGAAGAGAAAAAGAAGAAGAAGAGGAAGAAGAAGAGAGTTGAAAAAAGGACGGATTTTCAACAGTTTTTATTTGTACTTATAATTCCTACATCAAGTCGCTTTTCTATATAGCTGAAATCGTTTGCTAGAATCTCTGAGAAGCGGCAACAGCTTCAGGACTGAAGTCAAAGAAGTAAGTGCATGATCCTTGTGATCTTTATAGCCTCTGAATCTGAACCGTTTCCTCTTTTTTTTTTGAAACAATTTTGTTACGTTCATTCAAATTTTCACTAGATCTAATAAATTCTTGATAAAGTGGCTAAAAACTCCAAATTCAAAACTAACAAAAACTGTAGGAAAGAGCAATTTATTCCTATAAGCCTAATCCCTCGGCACTTTAACAGTTGCAGTCATTAAAAAAGCTTCATTTTTTTTTTTTTCAAAAGCAGTGACCATGACAAACTGGTTTTCTGTGTTCACATGCGGTTCCCATCACCAAAAAAAAAAAAATTAAAATTAAAAACGTGAAAGGAAAGCATTCTTTTGTCAGCATAAATTTTTCATGAGTTGAAAATTTTTACTTTTAAATGAGTACACATTTTAAACGATATTCTTAATGCTGTATCGGTTGCGAACATTTATTCAGCGATGACTACGCGGTAATCAGTGCCTATCTTATGTACAATAATCCAGTTTCTAATAGATCAAAGGAAGACTTTTAAAAAGAAAGAAAGAAAAAAGTAAACCACAGCAATTTGAATAAAATGAATTTTGAAGGGGAAAAAAAATATAACATTTCAAACCAGTTCTTTGCACTTCTCTTTATTTTATTGAAGCTGTTACGTAATTGCATAACGTATTTTACTACGAAAGTTACCATTATGAGGTTTAAAAAATGTACGGTTCATTAAGATTAACTGAAAATAAATAAGAAAAAAAAAAACTTGTCAGTACTATTATTATCACTTTTTTTTTGAGTGAAGCTTAAGATGAGGAACAAAAGTAGGGTCGAAGAGGAGGAAGAAGGTTGAGGAAAAAATCAGCTGTTAAAGCGAATACGTTGGGTGATAGAACTGAAGATTTTTTGATTGACTGAAGAACCATTTTTGCTTTTAACTCAATTGTAAGAATCAGATGTCAGTTGTGAGCTTCAAAAAAACATTTTCCAATATTTTATTTGTAAAATCAGTGTTTACTGTTTTTGTTCATTGTTATAGTTTAGTATCGATAATTTTCACTCATCACCGTACAGTCAGTTGCTTGCTGAAGAATTTTGATATTTAAACTTTATTCTTGTATACAGTTAGAAAAGGAAAGAAGAATAAAAATTTTTTTGCCTCTTCTAAATTTTTCTATAAAAAATTTGGGTTTTAAATGGTTTTTGGCCAATATTACTATTCATACAAAAAATTTATTAGTACTTGTCAGTCAACGGCAACGGGTAACAACAACAACGACAACGACGATGACGGCGACGACGACACCAACAACAAAGACAAACTGTTTTACATATACACTCTCATACACAGATACAGTCAAACAAAAACTTAACTGACGTTATTCATATTACACATCCAAAAAAATGACCAATTTTTTTGCTGTGATCCTCTTCAGCAATTCAGAGTGTTTTTCCTTCTTTTTTTTTTTTTTTTTTTTTTTTTTTT